AGTTGTTGAAATGCTTGGATTTAAAGGATTTCACATATACAATCATGCCATATGCAAACAGAGATAATTTTATATCTTTCATTCTAATTTATGTGACTTTCATTTCTTTTTCTTGACTAATTGCTCTGGCTAGGACTTCCAATACTATGTTGATTAGGAGTGGTTAAAGTGAGCATCCTTGTCTTATTCCTCATCTTAGAGAAAAACTTTTCAGTCTTTTACCACTGAGTATGATGTTGGCTGTGGGTTTTTGCCATATGGCTTTTATTATGTTGAGGTAACTGATTATTTTTTATAATTATCTCCACTATTGGCTTATTGGTTATAGCTCCTTTTCTAAAACTTCTTAGACGTTATCAGAGGGTTTCCAATATACATCCAGAATTTATCATAATCTACCTTCAAATAATATCACCTCACATGTAGTAATAACTTTATAACAGTGTACTTTTAATTCCTAGCTCTCCCTTGTTCTACTATTGATACATTTTACTTTGCATATAATATAAACTCTGTATTACATGCAAATATATCACATAAATATTTTATCTTTAAGCAGTTAATTACTTTTCAGTGATAAAATTAACAAGTATCTTACATATTCACTTCACTTTTGTCATTTACAGAGATTATTTTTCTTCTCTTTCTTTCCTTCCCTTTCTTACTTTTTCTCTCCTTTCTCCCTTCCTACCTCCACCATCCCCAGTCTCTCCTTTCCTCCATTTCTCTTTCTTTTCATGGTTTCATGTTTTACTTTGGATATATTTCTTCTGACAGAACTTCCTTTTACATTTCTTGCAGCACAGATGTGCTCTCAGCTTTCATTTGTGTGGAAATTTCCTTATTTCCTCTTTATATTCAAAAGATATTTTCACTGAGTATGGAATCTGGGGTTCAGTTTTTGCATCCAGTGTTTTAAAAAAACATTCCATTATCTCCTAGCTTTCACAGTTTCTGACAAGAAGCCTGCTGTAATTCTTACCTTTATTCTTTTGGCTGTTTCTTTTTTTCTTCTATCTGCCTGTAAGATGTTCTTGTTATTTTCATTTTTTAGTAGTTTGAATATGGGTATGACTTGCTTTTTTTGTTTTGTTTGTTTGTTTAAATCCTGCTTGGGGTTCTCTGGGATTCTTCAACCTGTGGTTTAACAGCTTTCATCATTTGTTAATTCTCTTTAAATATTTCTTCTTCCCTATGCTCTCTCTCTCTTCTCCTTCTGAACTCCTACTACATATATGTATGAACATCTGATATTGTCCAACACAATTCCTGGATGCTGCTCTCTTTTATTTTCCCAATTCTTTTTTCCTTCTATCATTTCAGCTTGAGTAATTTCCACTGACCTATCTGTAAATTCACTGAAGTCTTCTGATGGGTATATTGAAGGACTGAATCTCTAAAACTGTACTTTAAAAAGTTGGTACAATTTTTATTTGATTGTTTCTTATTTGTTCATCTCCCTGCTGAAATTCTTCATCTGTTCATGTCTGCTGTCTGCCTTTTCCACTAGATTCCATTTGTACAGCAGCTATGTCTTCTTTCTGCCATAAGTAGAACTGTTGTAGTATCCCATCTCTCTTTGAAGGAAAAGGTCTGTCTCTGGATTTCAGGCTACTGGTTTGCCCTAACATATCGGCTCTCTGATGGCTTCACAAAAACGTCTGATTTTGTAGTTTATCTGGCTTTTCCTTATTTTTTCAGTAGGAATACTTTTCATCTTTTCACATCTTAGCAAAAATCAGAAGTCCTGCCCATTCCCCCTTTTTTTTAAACAGCTTCATTGGTATAATTTAAATACCATAAAAATCCCTCTTAAGTGTACAATTCAATGATTTTTAGTATCTTTACAGGCTGTTCAACTATCACCACAATCCAGTTTTAGAACATTTCCATCACTCCCAAAAGATCTTTTGTGTCTATCTGCAGACAATTCCCATTTTCATCCCATTCCCTAGATAACCACTATTCTCCTTTCTAGTTCTATACATTCCCCTTTTCTGGACATTTTATAAAAATAAAACTATATAATATTTAGTCCTTTGCATCTACTTTCTTTCACTTAGCATAATGCTTTGGAGATCCACCCATATTGTAGCATGAATCAAGTTGTTCCTTTTTATTCCTGAATAGTATTAGATTACATTGCTATAGCACATTTTGTTTATCCACTTACCAGTTGATGGATATTTGGATTGCTACCACTTTCTGGCTATGAATATACATGTACAAATCTTTGTGTGGACATATTTTTTCATTTCTTTTGGGTAGATACCTAAGAGTGCAATTGCTGAAGGCATATGGGAAATTCACATGCAACTTTTTAAGAAACTGTCAAACTTTTCCAAAGTGCACATTTTACATACCTATAAGCATATGTGGGAATTTCCTCCTTCTTGAACTATTTTTTTCTTTGAACTTCAAAGATACCATACTTCATAGTTTTTTTTTCTCTGTCATTGGCCATTCCTTTTTAATCCCCTTTGCTGGAATTTTCTTCTCTGAGGGAGTTTCTTCTGAGCCTCTTCATATTCTCTCTAGATAATTTCACTCTGCCCCAAAACTTTTTAAATCATTTATATGCTCTAAATTCCCTAAATTTGTATCTCTACCCTAAATTCTTCACCAAGGTAGAAAAGTCTATATGTGTCTACCTGATATCTCCATTTGAATGTCTAACAGAAGACATCACAAACATAACTCTTGATTGTTCCTATTTCAAATCACATCCTCTTCACCTGTCTCAGGGAATTAAAGCACTGCTCACCTTGTTTTCTAGATCCAAATCTCAGGAGTAATCACTGATTCTTCTGTTTCTATCATACTCCATCTCCAATCTATCAGCAAATCCTACTATCTCCAAAATATTATCTTGAACCATATGAAATTTCCAGCAATTTTCTTTCCATCTTTCCATCTTTCAATCTCTGTATCTCTTGGATTTTAAGAAGAGATTCTCCTGCATTACTTCAAGAGATTTTAAACTGGCCTCCTAGCTTCTAACTTACCTGTGATCTATTCTCTCACAGCAGCCAGAATGGTCTTTTAAATATATAAATAAATAGCTACATGCAAAAGAATGAAACTGTACAACTATCTTACACAAAATTAACTCAAAATAGATTAAAGACTTGAACGTAAGACCTGAAATCATAAAACCCCTACTGCTGCACAGTAAAGAAAATCCACAAATTGAAAAGGTGACCTACTGAACGGAGAAAATATTTGAAAGTCATGTATCCAATAAGGGGCTAATATCCAAACTACATAAGAACTCATATTGCTCAATAGTGAAAAACCAATCCAATTAAAAAGTGGGCAGAAGAGCCATTTATCCAAAAACATACAGATCATCCACAGGTATAAGAAAAGATGCTGAACATCACTAATCCCTACAACTGTAGGGGATACTCAATAAATATGACAGAATGAAAGATTAATCAATGAATGTCAAAAGAGCATTAAGAGAAACAGAGAAATAGTTAACTACATAATACTTTTAAAAGATTAAAAATGCATTAATAATAAAAGACACATTAAATAATAAAAACTCTTCAATATTTCATTTGTATGACCTACAGCACATAGCAAAAAGTTATATAAAGAACAATGACTAACACTAAAGAATAGGGAGAAACATAAAATTTAGTTAATTATGTTAACACCCAATTTTTGAAAACTTGACAGGTAAACATTTTCTTAAATTCTAATGTTGAATAATATCCCATAAATAACTTATTTCATTCTCAAGTAATAGCTATGCTCCCTCTTATACATGATCTGTGACATACTATTACTTTTGTCTATTTATGATCTTCCTTCTGTCTTTTCATGAAGTTAATGCCTATTCATTAATCAGATTGTCTCACTTCCTTCCATATATCTTAAATAGGTTAAATATCTATCCTGATTATGAATTCTTGGGGAAAAAAATGTACTTCTTCATAGGTTTCTCACAGATGTCCACTTACCTTCATTGGTGAGATATTTGATGCAATAGTAGACTAAATGCTTTATGAAGGCAAGGTCCATGTTATTTTCATTCCCCACTTAATCCCTGTACCTAGCACAAGGTCTGACTTACGAAAATACATGTAGAGAGAATAATGAGTGAGAGGAAATGGTCTTATTTCTAAGGTCCTTCCAAATCCCAAGATTATGTTCATGATTTAACTCAGTACAGATTTCTGGCAGTTGTACTGTACATTATGCCAGTGAACCTGCTGCTTATTTAGAGCTCAAAGACCCCTGCTTCTTCACTCCTGTTTGCTCTCAATAGCAACTATTTCCTTAGTACAAATGGAATTTGGTTATTCAACTGAAAGAGATGGGTGGTACCACCAAAGTCCAAACTTGTAATAAAATCTCTTATTATTTAAGGATTCATAAAATTTGATTAATAAATCTTCTGAAAACAAAGTACCTTTTAATAAAGATGGTCTATGTGTGGAAGGTTTACAAAACACTTGGCACTCCTCAGACCTGGATGAGATACGGCCATGACCAAAGAGGGGACCTCAGGTCACAGTCTGGGGCTCAGAGTATAGGTTAACAGGAATATATAAGAAGAAAAGTATTTATTTAGGGCCCTTTGTTTGGTATTGCCACATTTCAATAGGTATAGTACCACTTTTTTTAACTGGGATAACAACAGGTACTATTATGCTATTAAAAATCATCTATAATAAATATATTTCTCAGAAAATGAACTAGTGCATTTTAAGCACATTATATTTACATTAAAAGTAATGCCATTTCACCCATCACTATTTCAGTTCTTCTCTTTTTAGATGCTATTAAACCATTTAAAAATAATTATTCTAATGCTAATCAAACTATTCTAATGTCTAATGAGAATATTTTAAATTATATCAGAATTATGTCTTAAATTCCTAAAATAAGAAGAAACCAATATATTCATTTAAATTTAAGAACATAATAATGAGAAATGGGATTTTTCCTTTAGTCTAATTTCTAAAACATCAGGAGATTGCACCCATTACCTGAGTAGGACTCTGAAGACTGAAATCTAAACCACAAGTAAACTCTGTATGATGTTCCACTGTTTCAAGAAGAGGGTCAGGCTTTGAAAAGTTCCAGAATCTGAGAATACAAACAAAAAGAAATAATTTAAGTATCAAAAATATCAAAAAAAATTTATTTAAGAAAAAAACAGGTATTTAATGTAATAAAAGATTTCATCAAAACAGGTTCAACCAATTCATAAATGCAGAGCCCTACTACTTATCTATATAAAAATTTAATAAAGAAAAATTGACTCCATTCTTTTATATATATATATATGCATATATATATAATTATTAATCGATCTACCCTGTAGAAGATGATTATATTCTTACATTCCCATTAGTATACCTTGTAAGATGGATGCCTAACAAGTTTCAATTAAATATTTTTTTGTATTGTACAAAGACATTTGAGATAATAAGCACTAGGCTTCTGTAGCAATTTCTAAAAGCATCTGTGGCTATAAAATAAGGATACTGGATTAAATGAACTCTAACATTTTGTGATTTTAAATACTACTTCGTTTCTCAACAACTGACATGAAAAGATGTTAGTTTAATTTACATTTCAACAGCAATTCAAATTCTTTAAACGAATCTGTTCTCTTAAAAAAAGGTTTGTAATTCTGAAACTATCTTTCTTTAGAGGCATAGCCTTTCTTACAGATTCCACATCAGTGTAATTTCTGGAGTCAAGAAAAACTGAAATGTGTTTTCCTGGGCCAATTAGCACTCTATTTACCCTCTATAGACTGCAAGTGGCAATATTTACCATAATATATCTCTGATTTCTACTGTACAAAGAAGAATTTGGCCCTATATTCAACACAAAAAACAGTACTTTATTTCTTAAGCTTTATTTGCTCATCATCTTTCTTATTTGACTCTAAACATACCATAAAAAAGGTCACTTTCAGAATCATATAGTCATATCCCAATCAGCTTCTCTAATGATCTACAACAGGGAACACACTGAGGATTAGCAGACCTCTTTGAAAGAGAGTAAATACACAGAAACAGCAGTCACAGTTTGTTTAACCTGGTGGTATTATTTCCCTTATAAATACAGAGTTGAGTTGGCCTTATTAAGTTTGAAAAGGATTGTTGCTATGGATAATCCACTGTGTGAGTACCAGAGAAACAATGAATAAATAGCTCATTTATCATATTACTGAAAATCTACAAAATACTTAAGCAGAGTGATTTTACTTCCGAAAATTTGCCTGTTCAAACAAATGAGGGAACAAGTTGCAGTCAGTCCTTCTCAGAAATCATAATAGTGGTCTTGACTGCCTTTCTGTGTTTGTTGCTTTGGGTCTAGAGACAGAAATTGTACAGAAATCTAATTTTCTAGATCTGATAATGTTCATATAAACAACAGTAAATATATAATTACATCATATTGTTTCTAAAACATGTTATTCGGTGATTAGCATTATTTGAAACAATAAATGATTTTGTATATACCCACGATGCTCCAAAAAATATTTAAAATGGTTTTAAAAATGTGCATATGTTATGACCAAAAAAATGAGCTAAAGGAAAAGTAAAGGTAAGGAAGTAAATTCAAACCTGCAATGAAATTGGTATACAAAAATATATTCCATGAAGTTGTATATGCTTGACAAGGGGGAACCTCGAGATGCTAAGCCTTCCAACAGTCAAAAGAAAAAAGGAGACATAATTAGACCCTGAATTCATAGGGGCTAAAACCAAATTGCCCTTGGAAATTACAGAAGGAAATTCACCCTTGGGAGTTAATGGAAAGAACTCCTAGGCTTATGTAATGAAAAGCATCCTCCATATCTCTTAAGGAAACAACAGAGATGTTTCATGAGCTTCTACTCAAGAGTCAATGACATCACCCCAAAGGGCAGCTTCATACAATCATTTAATGGGAAGGTCAATTTAACTCAGGTATTTTACTCTCTGACTTAACTTGGGATTTAGAATTTATTTCAGTATAATGGGTGGGTTAAACACTCTTTAGACAAAACATAAAACTTGGTTTCTTTCAATAGAAGTTTTTAAGGATAATAAAAAAGCAACAAAAATTTTGTTTGTATCCTACTGCCTACTTCCTGGAATGCAATTTTTGTTGTTTTCAGCCAGTTAAGTATTATCCTTAAGACTTCACTGAGGACAAGAAGGTAGGCCTTAAAAAACTAGGATGCCTAACAAGGTCATATGGTGAAACAACCCAACTCTAGCTTAAAAGTGTGCTAAGGGAATTCACATATGCAGGAGACTAAGATTCTTTTCAAAAAATCAATTTGAATTTGCTCTAATACATAGCTTCATGGGCAGAAAAGGCCCCATACAGTTCCACACCACAGTATCACACCCACCACAATTTTAACTAGGAAAAACAATCAAACATTTATCTGCATTTTGGAAAAAACTCATCAAACAAGATGCTGAAATGCTAAGGATTCTATTTGGCAAAGAGAGGGTCAATGAATTGACATAAAAGCAATTACACCATTTCATAGCCTGATGGAAATTGTGTAATATACAAAGTGAATATCATGGTGCCAAAATTATGAGAGGCTCATTTCCAGGAGAATGGCTGTCTAGGTATCTAGATCAGCATTTTAGTGACAACAATTAAAACTCGTACAAAAATTTCATGAAAGCATCAGTGAGGAACACTCAGGTAAAAACTATGTAAAGACTGGAACCAGAGTGGTAAATGGAACAATGAGGCCAGCTTTTGCCCTGAGAGGATTTGCTAAATAGAACAAAAGCTTCAATTTTCTTAACCTCAAGGGGATCAGGAGCTAGAAAAATCAGAAAAATTAATATATAAAAATTTTAAATAATTTTTGGTAAACTAAAATATCTTATCAAAAATATCGATTCAGTAAATTACACAAAGCTAAATAAGTTAGGAAGGCCAAAAGCTAATCAATGTAAAATAATTTATTTATTGCTAATGATTTTATTAATAACAAAATAAATATGTACTTCTTTCCTCATTTGACTCTCTCATGGCAACCATTGTTAAGAGTTCAATGTGTATGCTTACAGATTTTTCTATGAATCTCCATTCAAGTTCTACCAGAAAGGAGTGAGTTTTAAGGAGGAGGTGAGTGTTTTTTTCCCGGTTTTCTCACATTTGCAACTAGGTAAGTAGGCAAGGTCTTTCCTTGCAATCTTCTTCTGGACTCAAGGGTCCCATAAGTTCTATTTATCTGAGGGCCTTCATGTGCCTTCCATACAAGTAAAATGGGCTCCTTTTTATTGAGGGAAGTCAGGCTACATATATCACTAAGTGGTCAAATGAGGCATATTATTTTTAAGTGAAATGTTTGTTTTGGTCCAGTTGGTGCCTTTTTGTCTCTTTGCAGATGAAATCACTATTTATGTTCTCTCATGGGAAGCAAACATACTGGACAGGCCTCCAATGATTAAAAATATTGCAGAACTGTAGAACATTTTTCATTTAAATTGGAGATTTAGAGAGAGAAAAATTCATCACAGTATAGAGTCTTGTTTGAGTTCCTTTTTGTTTTCTGACTCCGCAAATTTTTAACACTGTTACTGTTAAATAAAACTTCAAAACTATTTTTCAAATTAAGCTGAATTAAATTACTTTTTACTTTACAAAAATATAAATTCAAATCTCTATACTAACACTTTTGAAATTTAGCCAACACATAAATTCAGTAGAAGACTTAAAATCTTTTTCAAAGTTCTTCCTTTTCCTTTCCTGGCCTCAACTGATAAGTTAGTCAGCAATTCTTTGTCTTTCCTAACTACAGTAAAAAGATGGGAAAAAGTTCTGACTACTTTTTAATACCTTACATATATATATTAAATTTAGTTGTGTTTTTAAAAATTTAAGCCAATTGCACAATCATAATTCCCTCTGTGTGCACTGCTTGGGTCTGGTGTCCTCTATAGTGATGAGCACAAATGATCGGTAATGCTTGATGTTGCTGGTCCCAGGACCACACCCTAGTCGGTTGCTACTGGTAAGGTTTTATTAATACACTGTGGTTCTAACCACTAGTGAAGGCAGAACTTTGGGAAGAAACAAACATATCAGAGGCAACTTATAGGCAAAGATTTTCACAGGAAAAGTAACACTATTACCCCATATAGTTTGATGAAATCAGCAGACGAGGCAGAAAAGCCTACTTTTTTATTGCTAAAAAACAGAACAGTATCAGTGTTAGTTGCAACTTCCCAATAACAAAGAACAAAGATGATCCAAAACTGGGTTTCCCACTTTACACAAACTATCCACAGAAAGAAAAACTTAACAGTTTTCATAGTGCCTTCCCATGATCTTAAACTGTTTTTGATCAGCCCAAAAACTTTTCACAGTAGATGCAAAGGGCATAATTATTCTCACTGAAGAAATGAGGAGACTATGCTCAAAGAAATTAAGCAGTAAGATGCAAAGGGCATAATTATTCTCACTGAAGAAATGAGGAGACTATGCTCAAAGAAATTAAGCAGTACACAGTAATAAATCGTAACCCCAAAGCACAGACTCTACAAGCATGATGTCCAGTACTTTTCTACTGGAAGATGTTGCCATTTACTTTTTCTCTAGCCTGGGCCATGCCAGGGAATCTGGAATATAGGTGGGCAGAATCTGGGATTCTTCAGGTAAATTTGACCAACAGGCTAAAAGTTCAAATGGATCTGGATCAAGTCAAGTCAGGCCTTCCCCCAAACTCCTCAAACTACATGAAAACTCCATAAGCCAAAGCCCATACCAAGACTTGGTTAGTCTGCCAACTTACAGTCAAAAGCAAAACCATAAGGATATTACAAGCTAAAATAAATCTGAACCCCCATGGCAAGGAATTCAGGGCTTTTCCTTTCTCTCTGTTAATATTTTTTATATGTACTTACTGGATCCTCTCATCCAGCACTCAACTGATCCCCTCTTTTTGTAACCTCACAGGTTTCCATCCTTTTGAGGTGAATCCCCCCCCTGAGTAGAACATACAGAATTACAGGCTTATTATTTATTTTATTGTCAGTATTCCTGTTAGAGGGGATTAAAAAAGAGAAATTGCAGACCAGCAAAACAATTTTATAAAGAACCAAATTCATTCA